TTTTTTTTTTTTTTAACATTTATTCATTTTTTGAGAGACAGAGTGTGAGCAGGGGAGGAACAGAGGGAGAGGGAGACCCAGAATCCCAAGCAGCCTCCAGGCTCTGAGCCGACAGCACAGAGCCCGACGCGGGGCTCGAACTCACGAACCGTGAGATCATGACCTGAGTGGAAATCGAGAGTCGGACACTTAACCGACTGAGCCCCCCAGGCACCCCCACCCTCTTCCTGTTTCTCGTTCGGGGTTCACTGCGTGTTTGGGATCTGTGGCCGGAGCTTGGGAAGCGAGGGTGGGCATTCAGCACACTAAACTCCAGAAGAAAATCTGGGACTGTGACGTCAATTCTGTGGATGGCAACCTGCATTCTTCTCATTAACGAAGCGAACACAGAAAAGTGCGGAATCTGCCCGAGTGTTCACACACCGTAAAGGTGAGAAGTGCCTGTGGAGGTGCTGTGTGCCGTCACCTTGTGGGACACGCTCACACTGGGAGTCACCTCAAACCCGTTGGAGGAAAGCGCTATCCGAGGCCTCCTCCCGCTACAGAGCCCCTCCGAGTCCGTCCGCGCCATGACAGACAGTGGACAGCAGAGGTCAGGCCATCCCCGCAGGGCGGCCGAGGCCCGACCTTAGCCGAGAAGCAACAGGCCCCAGGTGGCAGCTGTTGGTAGAAACCCCAGCTGTCTTGCCTTGGGGTGACCACTTGGGAGAGCCCGCCGTCCTCCCCCCGGCGAGGCCTTGCCTCAGGACCCTTCCCCCTCCTCTACCCCTAGACCGGGTTCTTTGGACGTCAGAACACCCCCGGATACTTCAGGGGAAGGTCCTGGCATTGAGGCTTGGGCCCTGGCCACATTCACTTTGGAAAACCGGGATTCGGGACCGTCCCCGGCCAGCCCCAGGCCCCACTAGTGCAGTTTACCGTCCCCCACCGTCCCCTTCCTCTCTGCTGGCCCGTCCGCAAAGTGCAGCCACGGGTGCGTTTCTGAAACGTTTCACTCTTCCCTTCCCACGTCCTCACACCCTTGTGGTGCTTCTGCGCCTCCGACACGGCGCGCAGCCTGGCCGCGGGCTGAGCGCCGTGCTCCCATCACACCCTGCGGGTGCTCACTCCTGTCCGGCCTGTGCTCCCCAGAGCCGCCGCGGAGGGAGACGGGGCCACGGGGGCCGTCCTCGTCCGAGCCAGCGGGCACTGTGGCTGGGGCATGGCGTGGGCCCCCACACGGGCAAGCCTGTTGGATCCAGCCCTGGGGCCTCGTGCTCGTGGCAGGAGCCTGGCGGAGGTGCGGGAACCCTGAGCCTGAGCCGGAGCCCCCCAGGAGTCAGCACCACGACCCGGGGGGCTCCCCGCCGCCTTTGCCCTGTGTCCCGGCACCATCCACCCTTTCCCACCTCGCTGGCCTCGGCTAATCCTCAGGGCCTGTGCACTTTCCACGGCTGTTGCCTGAGCGCTCTGCCCTGGATTTGGTAACGATCTGCCCCTTGGTGTCCTTCAGGCGCTCGATCACGTGCTGATTTTACCGATTAAATGCCCCTTCCCCCACCTCCGTCGCTCCCAACCCCAGCCCTGAGGATCTGTGCACGGCACTTACACAGCCCGCACTGGAGTTTGCGCGCCCCACGGGAAGAACAAGGACCTCGGCTTGCGGGTCACGACTTCCCGCCCCCTGGTGCAGAGCAGGCCAGCACCGTGTTCGCCCTAAGGACGGATGAACGAGTGAACGAATGGTCAGGAGGGACTTCAGGACCCTCCGCTGTTGGGACTCGGACCGAGGCTGCCCCTGAATCCCCGTGGGTCTGCGCGGGGTCGCTGGCTCCTCCGTGGGCGGCCGGGGGGGGGGGGGGTCCAGGTGGACCCTGAGCAGACGCTCGGATGTTCCTTCTGCCGGGTGGCGTGCAACCTGTCCCGAGGCCCTGCCCAGGCCTCCCCGCACCCCCGAGCCCACCTGCTGGGTGTTCCCACGCCCCCGCTGCACCTCCCCCCACAGCACCCGTGTGGCTCCCCCTGGGACGCTGCCTCGTTGACCTGCCCCCGTGCCTCCCGGGCAACTGGAAACCCATCAAGGGCAGGGACCGTCCTAAAGCCTCTCTTTGTCCGGTGAGCACGCGTGGACCAAACGAACGAGGTTAGGTTGGTGTGGACACAGCCGCGTCACCCAGCGTTCCTGGCCCCCGTGCGGCAGGCACAGGCTGGGCCGGCTGGCGGGGTGCAGCCTCGTGGGAACACCGGCAAAGGGCATCTGGAGGCAGACGGGCTCTGAATAAGGACACACTTGCCCGAGGGGACGTGTTCATCCACGCACCGCGCTGTCCTTCCCGTCCCCTCCCGCTCCCCAGCGTGCACGGGGTCCCTACGCGGTGCCGTGGGCCGTGCTGGTCGCCAGGAGCGCCGGGCGATTCGGGCTCAGGTCCGTGCCTGCTGCCGGGTAGGCCGGGAGGGCTCAGTCCGTGACAAAGCACCGTCGCCCCGTGACGCTGTAGCTGGGCGTCCGGACTTGCGCGGGCTTATCCAGATGGTTTCGCCTGCAAACAGCAAGAGCCTTCCAAGCCATTTCATTCATCCCTTTTTTTTTTTTTTTTAATTTTTTTTTAATGTTTATTTTTGAGACAGAGAGAGACAGACCATGAACAGAGGAGGGCCAGAGAGAGAGGGAGACACAGAATCGGAAGCAGGCTCCGGGCTCCGAGCTGTCAGCACAGAGTCCAACACGGGGCTCGAACTCACGTGTCCGCGAGATCGTGACCTGAGCCGAAGTCGGCCGCCCGACCGACTGCGCCACCCAGGCGCCCCCACTCGTCCCTTTTCTTAACCCGACACCCAGCGCCCCCGTATCTGTTCTGGTTTGGTGCCTCGAGGTGTGAGCTTGGAATGACTTAGCGGGCATCACCCAGACCCCGTGGGGCCACCAGGGTGAGCTGGCCGGGTGGGCGGGCTCGGCCGGGACTGTGTCCCCACCAGCCTGAGGTCTGCGGCTTCGCGGTTAGAGAGCCCCAGACAGGGCACAGCAGGGCAGGCCCCCGGGGAAGACAGGAGTGTCTGTGTGGCCAGCGGGGAGGCACAGACCACGTTCACCAGCAGAGGCGGGGCCGCCCCAACATCCCGGCGGCTGCTTTACGTAATTATTAATTTTCACGTGTAGGTAGTTTTATTTTCTGCTTGTTTGCACGTATTCTAAGGATCCTTAAACGTTGTCAGATAGCCTTCATATTCCCTATCTCTAAAAACGCTCACGGCGGCCACACTGGAGCACATCGGACATGAGGGTTGTCCCTGCACTCGTCGGCTCCTACGGACAAGTCTGCCATTTTTCGGTTGAATTATGTGCTTCCCACACGTTCCCGGCGGTGGGATTACCGCGGAAGGCGGCATAAACGTTTTAGTAGCCCTGGCAACACGCATTGCCCGATTTCTTCCCTACGAGGCTGTGCTAACTGACAGGCCCCTGGCAACGTGTTTGCGGATTTTATGGTTTTCCCGCCGTCTGGACGGCACGAGGTGCCATCACCTCCCCAGCGTGTGCTGATTTTGGAGGGGCGCGTCGTGGGCACCGCAGACGTCTGCCCCAGGGTGAGCGCGCTCGGCCGGGGGCGTCTTCCGCGTCACAGCCTCTGCGTCCGTCCTTCCCGCTCCACCTCCCTCTGAGGCCTGTCTGTCTGTCCGTCTGTCTCAGCCTTTCAGCTTCTGAATCCTGTCCGTCTTCAGCGGCTGACTGGGCAGGCACGGGTCTGGTTCACGGAAGTCCCAGGCAAGCTGCCAGCTAGACCCGGACACTGGCCACCGGCCTCTGCAGCCCCACGCCTCGTCTCTGCAGGTGGCCTCGTCTGGGCTGACCTACCGAGAGGCGGCAGGGAGCGACCCTCGCCAGGGAGGCCCCGGAGGCCCCCTACCCTCGTGACGGCTCGCCAGGCGGGCCCGCGTGTCCTGGCAGCTGGGGATGGGTGGTCCAGCAGAGCCAGGAGGGGGTCCCCAAAGCCCAG